GTTTAGAATAGATACTGACAGAAGTGATGCTTCGGCAGAAGCCTCGCGAGGCTCTCGCGATCATTTACCTCCATTAGTTGATATTCCACCTATAATAGAACCACAAAAACCGAGCTCTTCATCAAGTGGAAGAGATACATTAATCAAACCACAACAACCATCATCAAGCACAATAAAAGACATTGTAGTAAGCGGAGCAAAGGCAGGAGTGGAAACATTAGCAAAAGCAGGAGCTACAGCATTGGCGAAATCATTTTTACCAGCATAAAATATAAGATAATAATATATGTTAAGATTGAGACCTACATTTGAGCAAATTGAAAAAGAAGCAAGAACGCACAGATTAAAAATATTACCAGAAAGGCAGAAAAGAACACAGCAAGGACTATTATTAGATGATGTTAATTTTGATGACTTTGACTTAAGCAGATATGATAGAAAAGAAATATTAATGAATAATCCAGATAAGGGAACACAAACGGATTTGTTTGAAACAATAACATCAACTGAAAAAAGCGAGAGCATTAAATCATCAGGTAATGAAACTTTTAAAAGTGAGGACACAGAAAACGAACCATTACAGGAACAAGAACAACAAAGAGAACAGCCAGAAAGGGAAAAGGGAAAATCAATAATGAGGCGAATATATGATACTATGTTTGCTGATGATGAATACAGAGAAGAACGAGAAGAACTATTAAGAAACAGAAGAGCACAAACAGACGTGTCGGTAGAAGTCCCGCGAGGTATTCGCGAAGAAGAACTAGAGGAAGAACAAGAACAAATAGAAGAAGAAGAAGATGATTTGTCAATGAATGTTAAAAAATCTTATGAGCCCTCAAGTTCAAGTTCAAGGAGAAGTTCAACAAATAGAAGCGCTTTATTACCTATTGAAGAAGAAGCATTAAGCGAAAATATCCAATCTTCCCCGCCAGTATCAGTTCAAAGTTCAATACCGACCAATAGAACAATAGAATATGTTGAAGAGCTGTCACCACCGCAGAGTGTTATTAGTTCAAGGCGGTCACAGCAAAGCTCTGAGGGGGGACATCGTCCCCCATCACAAGAAACAATAGAATATATAAGGAGCAGAAGCTCCAGAGGAAGCGTTCGTTCAGTCAGTAGTTAATATTTGCTTTAAAGATTTTTGCGTTAAAAAACGCAAATCTACTTAAAGAAATATTAACATTTACAAGTAAGATAATGAATTCCTACCTAGTTACAGAAAACGGAGTAAAACTTCAAATGGATGATGACCTGTTTGATTGTATGTGGAACGCTATGAAAGAGAACAAAATGCCGGATTTTAATAGGATGAAGAAGAACGCAACAAATGAAAGGTTGTATGTCAAATATAAGGAGCAAGGATATTGGAATAGTTATTATAAGAAAAACAGTTGTAGCTATGAGTGTGAGAGGTGTGGAAAGATGATTAGCAGTAAAACAAACAGAGCCAAGCATCAGAACACCGCAAGGTGTCAGGAAATTTATGAAGAGAATAAACAAAAAGAGCTACAGGATAAGATAGTCAAAAAGGTATTGCTATGGAATTAATATTATTTAAAATATAAATAATATTAATTAATGGCTGAGAAAAATCAGGTTTTAAGCGATTTATATTATGATATTGAAAGCGGTTTTGGTAGTGCTAAGAGTTTATATGACGATGCCAGAAAAGCTGGATTGGTAATAACGCTAAATGAAGTTAAGGAATGGTTGAGGGGACAGTCTCTTAAGCAAAGAAAAAATTATAAAAATTATAACAGCTATTCGCCTCCATTCGCTAGGTCTGTGTATAGTGTAGATTTGATGAACATGATTAGTTTAATGAAAGATACTGACACATATAAAAAAGAATATCCATTGTATGGTTTCGTTTGTATTGATAATTTTAGTAAAAAATGTCACGTAGTCGTCTTGAAGAATAAAGATACAGACCCTGTTTATGACGCTTTTATGGAATGCTTTAAAGTAATGGGACAACCACAATCAGTATATAGTGATGATGAGGGAAGTTTTAATTCAAATAAATTACAAAATTATTTCAAAGGGGAAGGAATAACTCATAAAGTAACCTTGACACATGCGAATGTGGCTGAGAGAATGATTAGAACCTTAAAGAAAATGATAAGTGACAGATTACAAATTCATAAGGGGTCTTGGACTATAATGTTAAAACCAGTTTTAAATAAGTATAATAGTAAAATGGTTCATGGGACTACGGGGCTAGTTCCTAATGAGGCTCATAAAGACGAGAATAGCGTAGAAGTCAAAGCCAATTCTGTAATGAAAGAAAAATATTTAAGAAACTATCCTAATATCAAAGCTGGTGATGATGTGAGAGTTTTTGTTAAAGGGAAAGGTAATTATACCAGCAGGAAAGAAAGCCGTAGTCAGTGGAGCGAGAAAGTGTATGAAGTGAAGGAAGTTAATAGAGACCCACAACTGAATAAATATTATGTTATTGAAGGATTGCCAAAGAAATATATGAGGCACGAATTATTATTAGTAAATAAATGATTACTAAAGTACTTAAAGACAAAAAGCCTTAGAATAGTAGTGAGTTATGGATAGTAAAACGATTGAGAAGATTAAGAAGTTTGTTAAGAAAAACCCATATCCTAGTTATGATTTTGTTGAAAATATGATATTAAGTAAGGCGAAGAAATGGAAAGACCAAGGAGAGATGGAGTTTAAATTTCACTATTTGATGATGAACTCTGAATATGGGCATAAAAACCACAGGCTTTTAAAAGAAATTTATGAAAATATTGAGGATGAAGAATTAGTGAGGCGGAACGGAGAAGAAATTAATAGTTCTGGAGGTTTTCAAGCAATGTCCTATAATTCTTTTGCTTTCGTTGAAATCCTAAAATATCTTATTGGTGAAAAAGCAAAAACAAAATTTGAACAAACTGAACTTTATAATAAAATGATACTACAACAACAAAACTGTTGGGATGGGATAGGAGACTGGCATATTTAAAATATCTATAACAATCATATTATAATAAAATAATATGATGGTTGTATTGAATTTTGTGATAAGCGTATCAAAACTACTTAAAGACAAAAAGCCTTAAAGTAGTAAGGAGTATGACTGTCTTTGACTATAGCAAGTGTCAAGAGTGCAAGTATATGCGGACACAACAGAATAAGGAAACCTTAAACAAAATAATACCAGAACCAATAGCAGATATTATACAATCGTTTAATTGTTGCTGTAGCAGTTGCAATCGTCTTATGGACCTAGAAGATAATTATGATTTTTACCCTGAAGAGAAAGATAAACTAACAACTTTTGAAAAACAACTTTTTATATTAAAAGAAAGAGATAATATTGATGTATATTTTTATGGTGATGATGTAGAAACGAAAAAACAAAAATTAGTAAATATGTTTTTATTTAGTGATAATCCTTACAAGAAAGTAATCATATCTTTTATAAAGAACTACCGAGCAAGGTTTTTTCAAAAAATTGATAGTGTTTTAGATTGTCTCCATAATAAAGAGTTAATGAATAGAATTACATATCGTGAAAATATATTAATTTTAAATTATAGCTATTACAAGAAATCATATCCTGATAAAGTTTTATTCAAATACATTATGTATGAGTTTCTCATTAATTTTATTGCTAAAGATATTAGATATTTAAATCTTAACGAGTTGCAAGAACATTTAAACGAAATATTTGATAGAGAACAGGATTAAAATTTAACAAATATTTATAATATTAATTTATTATAAATCTTTGGTAAAGTCTTTGAGGTGGGCTAGTCCCAGAAAACGGGTGAGGCGATATGACGAAGGATGAAAACGAGTGAGGGGACGATGTTGAGAAATGAAAAAATGTGATGAAAAAGTACTTAAATAAAAATGATGATGAGAAACGGATGAGGTGACGATGTTGATGATGGGAGGAAGGAAGGAATGAAGGAGCGGGGCAAAACAATGATAACGGATAAGGTGACGATGATGATGAAAACGAAGCAGGGGGACATGTAAGAGAATGGATGAGGTTAGGAGAATGATATGATATAGGTCTTAGAACCAACCCTTATACAAGCCCCAGCCCCAGCCCCAGAACCAACTTTATTCCTATTTTTTCCCCCTCCCCCCCCTCCCCCTCCCCCTCCTCCCCTCCCCTCCTCCCCCTCCCCCCCGCCCCCTCCCCCCCTCCCCCCCCCCCCCCCCCTCCCCCCCCTCTCCCCCGCTCCCGCCCAAACCTTTCCGAAATCCGAGGCTCGAGTTCACAGAGTCGACAGATGGATTTTGAGGCAACACAAAAGTGGGAGGACATACAAAAGTACCGTAAAGACCGAGTAAAATGGATGTGCTCTTAAGAGGGTTTTAAGCGAGTGTAGTTGGTAGGGGGGGCAGCGCGTACTGCTTCTACTACTTACTGCTGCTGCCAGTGCTACCACCACAGTGACTGACCGCCACTACAAAGTCCTAGCACTACCTCCAAGACGTCGGCGAAGACGCAAACAACTACCACAATCAGTACTTGCGGAATATTCCAGTCAAATCTGGTAAACCCGAAAACTGAAATTTATACTCGTTCGAACTTGCCGTCACAGTGGTAGCGATTCTGACAGCAACTCTTCCTTGCTATTTTTGATTAGACTTGTCTTAATCTTGTCATTCTTCCCTTACTGCGATCGGTATAATCATTGATGTGCTTCCTGCTGCCTGATCCAAATTGAAACAACTAGTAATGCAACTTTCTTCCGAAAGACGTACTTACCTATTCCGTTGGCGCTCATATGCGGCTGTCGCTCGGAAGTTGCCTGCAATCTTGATGGCCTCCCTCCTTTTCACACTATCCCTAAAAATGGCAATGAACATGGACATGATCGTGATTGGTGTTGCTGGTGTTGTTGCTGCCGCGGTGTGTTCCTGTTGTCTCCCGTAACTACGACACCCTTAGAACAATCTTAGAACAAAGGACCACAGCAAACAATCTCAGCTTCACGATCCTTGTGTTGCAAGAAGCCCTACGTCAAACCCAGAAGAATGCACGGAGACTCCTGCACAGCCAATTCACTGGCAAGGGGACAGAGGAACAAACGGAGGATCGAACTGCTGTCCAGGTCCTTCGGCTTAGAGAGGTTTCATTTAACATTAAGGTTTCAGGGTTTACACGAACAGGGCTTGGGGTTAGCTAGGGTTTACAATGAAGGGTTTGGGGTTCAGGGTCCCAAGAGCACCTGCACTCTAAACGTCAAAAAAAACTCAAAACACTGTGCACCCTGAAGCCGACTCACCAAAAACCTGAGCCCAAGAGTTCAAAGACCTCAAAACTTCCTCTCATTGCTTCCCGAATTCTGTCCAGAACCCCGTAAACCCACCAATGCTCCACCCGAAATCTTAAAGGCGATCCAGGCGCATCGGCGAATCCGCTCAGGTTTGAGCACCTGGATTAGGAAGACTGGGAGTTGCTCGAGCAAAGCCGCAACGACATGTCAACGGACTATGACAATCCTAACCTTAACCCTAAAACCTAGGCCCTAAAGCCTGAAGCCTTAGAAGGCGAAACGTGTTTTGGATGAGCTGATGCTGTGGAACTTTAGGTTTTACTGTGGAGGGTTGTGAATGTGGGCTTCATTGGTACAGTCCTTGTTTTGTGAGGTAGGTTGCACATCTTTGTGGATGTAAGGTTGTCGGCTTTGGGTCTGATCCGGCTACCAGGTTTACGGCTTAGGGTGGTGCTGAAGGGTCTTGAAGAATTGAGCCTCCTCATCTCTAATTCTTCCCGAGCATGGTTTTGATCACCTTTGTACTATAAGTCTGTCCTACACGGGAACCCCTCCCAGTTATAATTATACATGATGTAGGTACACGGACCCCTAAGGGTGATCTGTCGATTGAAGAGCCTGCTTCGGACCCAAGATCCACGACGTCCAGGTATGCAAGATCAATGAAAGCCGAAGCCCTCAACTGAAACTCGGAGCGACTTGGACACGGCATGCTGCGTGGATTTACATTGAGACCTCGGGGTTTGGATAAGGTTCAGTCATGCGCAAATGGACGCGAATGACCCGAGAAGATTCCGGCCCCCGTATCCCTGACGTGTTCGGAACGATGCCGCGGGCAAAGCCTACACTCTAAATAACTGCAACTGCACACCCCGAAAGGAACCCCGACTCCCAGCTCGGATGTTTCAATTACACACTTTGCCGTGCTCTTCTTGCTCTATTTAAAAACTGCTAGGATCAATGTGGCGAACAACTACGGGTACTTTTACTTATCACCACCTCTGCAACGGTATCGGCCCTGGCGCAATGCGACGAAACCCTTCTTGGACGGTCTGGGCTCTCTGATCCATTCCCGGACACCTCCGTGGATTTCGAGAGTTTGAGGGTTAGGTTGTTCCGGTCATCGGGTCCTTGATGCGATGCTCTGCGGGCCCTAACCCCCAAGACTGAAAGTGAACTTTGGTGCATCTGACATTCTATGCATTGCAGCCGATTCGCCAACTTGCCAAGCGTCTGAACTGCGGTGCTCCCATCGGGTTTACGGTGTACATGGTTGACGTACACACCAGACTTACCAGCCCGAAATCGGCTTGCCTGCAGCTTTCGATTTTGCTTAAAGCTCTCAGGTTACCACTCAATCCTTGAGCCTGGAAGCTGGAAACCTGAAGTCAGAGACCGAACAGCTCAAATTTGTCCATCAGTTTTCGGGCTAGGGTATACTATGTGTATAAAAGTATATATATATATATATATACACAGAGACATAGATATCGCTATAGATATACACACACACACGCACACGAACGGTTGCCGAACATTGAGGCTCCTTCATGCGATCTTGACGGGCCTGTTGGGTAAGCTCCAAGAGGCAAAGAACCTGCTACTCTGTGCTCACGGGACGAAAGCTTCCCTGTCGGCACGCTCAAGATAACCTTTCCGAACAAATGTAGATATAGAGCAGGAAACTACTATGAATAATACTGCTGATTGTGGCTTGGGTGAAGTGAATCGACCCCCGTACCCCGGATGTTCAACAATATTTACTTGAAATCAGCCGAGGCACTGTTCTGATGTGTATCAGTCTGCCAGTCACCAGCTATGCTGAAGTCTTGCAATGACAGGCTGCCGTCCTCGCATGTCAAAGCTCGTTAGAACCGATATTCTCTTGAATGACTGTAGGGAAACAACTGAAGTAAAAACGCCCGTGGACCCTGGAACTCAGATCAAACACCATGCGCCTCAGATCCTGAACCGGAGCCCACAACTCCAGCCAGCGACCTTGCTCAGGACGTCTTCGAAGGCTTTCTTAGCGGCTTTGGTCATCTCACGGTACCTAAGCCGCAGGTACTGCGAGAGACGCTGAAGCTTTAGGGAAAATCTTGAAGCCGATAGCATAAGCATGATGGACAATCTGTGAACGCTGGACGACTCGAAACCTGACACGACACCCCGTCCCAGTTGACACCCTGTCTGGCATGATGCCCGAGATTTTGTTGTTGAGGGACCCCGGCGCTTCTCGGTAAACAAACGAACAAGCCAAAGAGAAGTATGAAGTTCCGCAACCTATAGGTCTTTCCTCCGCTTGGATGTTTGCGGTCTGTAAATCGAGCGGCCATGGGCCTCCAAATAGTGGAGCCAAGTTTGGGATCAGGGGTTGTAAATAACTGTCTTCGCTGAGGCTCTTCCAGTTGCAATCAGACCCTGGCTTGTATCTTGGAGCCGTCTCCCGTAAACCCTAAACCCAAAGCCGCAAACCCGAAGCTCGTATCATGTCCCCGAACCGAAGCCCCGAGCACGTCCCCGGGATCGACATGATCAGCTACTTGTAGATTCATGAATTTCTACATGTCGCCCACGGGACATTTGCGAAGTATGTAGTGCTTCTGGCTTTAGGGTCGAGGTGATAGTGGTGTAGGGGCGTGAAGAGCTGGGGGTCTATAGTATTGCGTTCATTCGTAGTGTTTGCAGTTCTGGGGCTTGCGGTCGTGTGTGCACGGTCCAGCACTGAAGAACCCGCATGAACACGGTATTTCGCCGAAGCAACTTTGGTATATAAACTGCTTCTTCCAATGCTGAATATGCGTGCAAGCACGACAACTAGCGTTCTTCTCTTTCGAAGATCCAGCTGCTACTTAGTGATGCCAGTTCTGACCCCTGCAGCTCTCCACACATGAACCTCGAACCCATGCACGCACACAACCCTAAACTCCCTAATTGAGCCATCAGAAACCTAAAAGCCCCCTCCCCCCTCGCTGTCATGTTATCATCCTGATGCCTGGACAAGAACTCTGAACTCTGACAAGCAGCCCGTCGGGGCATTGAATCACAAAGATCCCGCCAGCCCGATTCAGGTTTCTCAACCTGTCCGTTGCAGGGACACTTGGGGCTCAGAATGTCTAATTCCGAGTGGATGGTCTCAGATGATGCTGACAGTTCCAAAGACGAAACACCTGAGAAAACCTGAGTAGCGACCCTGGGGCTTTATATAATAGGCACACAGCCCCAAACCCTAGGCCTAACGTTTACGGTTTGGGTCCAGGTGGGAAGCGAACAGAGACTGTCAGACACACTTACAAGTCGACTGCCAAGCACGTCGAAGTCTGAACGACGCGGTTGAGACTGCAGGACTTGAGGGCTTAACAGACATAAACCTAGGTGCTAACTGACAGCTTCGGTCGCAGGCCGTGGCGGCTAAAGTTGACGTGTAAGGTCTTGGAAAGATGGGCACTTACCCATGAAAGCGGAGGTTTCGTAACTCATAAGAGAGGCGGTCACCAGTACTCCTACTTCCAACAGAGCCCCATTTATGCTGACTTACACGTCGCATGTGTATCTGTCTGTTCTTACATGTATGTATGTGTGTACATATGTACATATACTCACATACATATACGTATCATATGTATATGCTTCTGCACATGTATACATACATACATACATACATACATACATACATACATACATACATACATACATACATACAAACATACAAACATACATACATACATACATACATACATACACACATGCATGCATGCATGCATACATACATATACTTATATGATTCACGTGTACATATATATATATATATACATATCCTTGAAGTTTGCACACATGTGTGTAACATCGCTTTACATACATACATATGTACGTGTACATATACAAACCTACATATGCACACCGCTTTGGATTTGAGTTTAGGTCTTGGTCTTGGGACGGAGTGCATCAGGTCAAGGGGCTATTGCTCGAGGCCTCTCGGTTACGGGTTCACATGACAACATGAGGCTTGCAAAGTACTTCGAAATTGAAACACACGTCATGAAACATCACTTGACTTGTCTGTCATCAGAATTAACTCAAGCCTCAACCCCCATATACACCCTATAGTTGAAACATGTTGGAAGTGTCTATCTATGTGAGCTACGCGCTTTCTGTGTTTTGAACGACCTGGCGTGGTGGGGAGCTGGTGCGACGAATGAAAGCGAGCGCTCTTTATAGTGTTTGTGCCCGGCGGAGCAAGTGTGGAAGACTGTACTTGATGCTGAAGTTGGACAGTGATGTCACAGGTAAAGTAGTGGATGTAAGACAGAAGTATCAATCCTTAGACCAGACAGGCCGACAAACCGGCCGCTTCCCCACCCAGAATAACAAAAACATCACTGCAAGCAGCTGCTCGGCCAACGTGGCGCAAGCATTCCGGGCGGCTGGAACCAACATGTCCTTGAGCTAGGAAGGTTGGGAGCAAAAGCTCGAAGCTGCGTGGCTGGGGCATTTTTTGAATGGAGATGCAGTGTCTAGATCCCTATATTATGAAAAAGAGAGACACGGTGTCTCACAGACACCTCAATCCCAGTGTCCCAACATTGATCTAGGCAAAGCCGTCATCATGGTCGTCCACTAACTCCAACCTCGTGCCCCAAAGGGAGGAGCGCTTTAAACTGAAGAGGCCGTTGAAAGTAAGACCCCCAAAGAGAGCGGTTACGAGGGCTCCTCAGACGAAAACCCTCAAGGTGGGGCAATACATCGCAATAGGAGGTTTCATAGCTAGACTGCAGCCATGGGGAATATGAGATTATAGTTCGCTATGGGGAACCCAAAGGAGGTTCTATTGCCAGCACTACTTGCTCAGACCCCTCAATAGAGCATTTGATGCGAGTCTCCGCCCATGTGTCGCCCGTCCCATCAGCCAGGACCAGAACTTGAAGGCGCTCCATGATTGCTCCCGCTCCAGAATCAGGCGCATTCCTTTGAGCAAGTTCTCCTACGAAGGGGTGCTGGGGTTAGGGTTGCAGTGCATCTTTGGGGTGGGCCATTTTGGGCCGACTTCTTGGCCATGTTGGCTCCATCTTATGCTGACATGAAGCCATTTTGGGCCAAGATTGGGGTTCAGGAGATGTCTGTTCGAGCCTGTCTTCGGATCGTCTCGAGCTGACAAGCAGATAACAACCAAGGGAAGAATTTCGTTTCCGGCTAGGGTCTTGGAATAAGGGTCGGGGGGTGCAAATGGCACAAATGCTCGCGGCTGCGGTTCTTGCCACGGCTGCTCTGATGACAGTCGCAATTACAGTGCGCTGTAGAAGCAAACGAAACATGACTCTTAAGCAGCGGTCCAAATGCCCCCTAGACCGCGAAACCCACTAAAGTTTGTGTTTAACGGACTTTGGTCAAAAGTGTTTAGTGGGCTAGAATTAAAGCTACGCGGATTACAGATGGTGAAAATCTCTAAACGATAGTCCTGAGAGCCTAAATCCCTAAACTCATGACGAGCAAACACCTTAGATTCGATATCTGCCCACACTCCCAATCCCAACCGCTGCGAAATACAGGATTGGTATGCATCCCGACAATTCTTTAATGGGTCTTGTAGGGTTCTTCAGAGGGCTCAGTCGGGCTCTATTGGGTTTCAATAAGGTTTTCTAGATGCTTAATGAAACGTCTTGACCATGTTGAGCCTTGAGTGCGGATTGACTTGAGGCTTAAGTTTCGTGCCGGGGAGTCCGAAGCTTAGGTTTGGCGTTTAAACTTTAGCTATCAGGGTCTGGGACTGCGGGGTTTGGAGCTTTGTCGATTAGGAAAGCTCTGACCTAGTGGCAGTAGAGCGTAATCAGTCAATGAACGACACATATGTCGTGAATCTTGATAGCCGAAACCATGACAACCATTGCGATCACCATCAGACCAATACGACCGGTGACAAAGTCAAGAAACACCAATAGACGCGGTGCAACGTGTCTAACCGACAATCCACGGCTTCAGTTGGCTTATGGTACCTTTACAACAGAGGTGCATGACCCACGGTTTGCTGGCGGCCTCAGGAAGCTACCACGCTGCATTGGCCTCGCACAAAGGAGCAGAATCCGAAACCAGAATGGCGGAAGGGTTCACAGTTGTGGACCCCTGGCCCTGGGCCCTGGGGATTCGTATCTTGCTGAAAGGAAGGTCCTTCCTTATCTCAAGACTCAAAGACGCAAATAGATGGAGCAGGTGTAGTCTACAAATGTGATCATTCTTGCTTTTTGCAGGGAGGCGGACGGGCTGCTACCGTACTGCTGCTGCCGGGCATTGTAGGAGCGGTAGTCAGTATGCACCGAGCAAGACAAGACGGCCGATATCAAAGGGTCCCCACCATGTTACCGGTGGAACACGGTCCAGGAGGGCCCTGCGCAGGGTGAGGCTTCTTTGAAGGACATTGGGAGTTGAGGTTTCGGACGATTGAGGGCGTGGGGTCATGGGAGGACGAGTAGGCTTTGGCGCTCAGGCTCCGAGAAGGGACAAGAGCCCTTACCCAGCCCAGGAAACCCTGGAGGCATTCTTACCTGGCTTTTTGCATAAGTCTTGCCTGGTTTTGGATTTAGGGCTGGCTGAACCAGAAGCAAAGTCTGGCTCTTACACATCCCGAGCTGCGTCAATTTGCGCATCTTCCTGCCAATTCTACTAACATGGGGCCAAAGCAAAATGTCTCACAATTATTCGCTGCTGTCTGGAGGATCACTGCAATGTTCAGGTCCGGAGATGCGGCACTAGCTGAGATATGCAACAGCATCAATTTCGAATATCCTGCCTGCTTAAACACCACAGTATTATCATTATGTCGGCAAGGCCGGAGCTTTTTGCACTCGCTGCTTCGCAGAATTTGCAAGGCTGGCGAGGGGGAGTGATGATCAACAGATTGAAAAAATCGGAAGTCGCGACAACGGTGGAGACCTCGGTCTTCTCGGCTAGATCCGCAACTGTAAGAGTGCAGGCTAACATTACCTAAAGAAATCTCAGGTCTGCTCCGAAATGAGTTTCACACGTCTCTGAACAAACTCCCCATGTTCTGAAGAAGCGCTACATTCAAGACCCTGGGACAGAAGCTTCCCGTTATACACAGTTTTGAAAATTTCCGGAAGGAAAAGGGCTCAGCATGAGGGCGGTTTGCTGCATGAAGTGGCCCTAAACTAGAATTGCCTTTATTTTATGGGGTTCCTTACTTTAGTTACAATATGTTATAGTAACATCATGTACCCATGTGTCTCCGCCAGAACACTTCCGCTGCGAGATGAAAAGTGCAGATTCGGAACAAAAACGGGCTGGACCAAACAAGTACCGTCTCATCAAGTGTACTTCCATAGAGTCGGGGGGTTTCTGGTTGTGTAGAGCGATTGAGACTCAAATGACATTGACAGCGGGGGTTGGGGTTCTTCACGCAAGATATCGAATCTACAGGCTAGCCCGACCGACCCCAACAAAAAACTCTTTGGGCTTTTGCTTGTTTAATTGACGCGTATCTGTGGCATCTTGGTGTTCCTCGAGAATTATTCACTAAGCGGCTGAGCTAAAGCATTACACCCTCGACCCTAAAGCCCAAACGCTACACCCTCATGAACCTGATGCTTGGGCTTCAAATGGCTTTGGCATTCAGCCTTTGAAATTTCGGGCTGAGCACTTTGGTTCGCGATTGATGTAGTTGTGCAACAGTCTCCACGTCACGACTTCTCGCGGCTTTCACAAAATTCGGCATGGCCACAGGGTTTAAAAGGCCGTGCCCAAAACAACACATAAATCCGAAACCCACAGCCTGTAATCCCTCGAAAAACCCTGCAGTCTATAAGCCCCCAGTCCAGATCCTCTGTGACGAACTATAGGACTCGTCCTGATACGGGACATAAAACCTTGAGTACTGAACTGTTTCGGGTGCTCTCGGGCTTAGCGGGCTTGGAGTTCACCAGGATGACGAGAACTATCCAAGAGATCGCTTTGCGGGCTGAGGCTGCGTCCTCAGACTGCGAAAGCAACATTACCGATCATAGCCCTTCTAGCCGAGCAACCGATGGATACAAGTTTTCACAATCCCTGCTCTTAACCCTGCCACGAAGAAGCTGGCTCGGGATTTGACCGTAAAACCAGAAAACCAGGTTCCAGGACCTGCTTAGACATACAGGATAATACGTCGTGGTCTTTTTCATGTTTATGCACGGCTTCACTACAGAGTTCCCAAACACAAAAGGCACATGGACACTACTATGCTAAGCCCCCAATGCAGGTTAGTTAACCCTCCTATCCGAAACTTCGACGTGCTAATCTACCTAGCTCACTCCTGCGCCAAGGGGTCGCCCTAGTCCTCGAAGGCCATGGAAACGTGTCTCAAGCCCTCGAGCACAAGGGCTCGGCTGGGCTCTATGCCCTCCGCCCCGTCCAATGACATAAAACTGGAGGACTCAAACGACAGCATGAACCTTGAGAGGTCTACACCAATTCTAACTCCAGCGGACTAAATCTCAAGGGTATCCTAGCAGGGCTGGCACAAGAAGGGTGTTGGGCTTCAGCTTGCAAGGCTCTGGGACGGGATGGGAGGTTGCAAGGACCAAAGAGCAATGAGACAACTAAGGACGAGAGGCTCTGCCATGGAAAACTGGACCAAGGTGCTCAAGACCTTTCGTTGGCCATCAACTTCACGACCCTTCATATGATACCCTGACCATCCAAGACCCAGAATTCCAAACCGAAACCCGCCTGAAAGCCTCTAAAGCACTAGCCCAAGACTTGCCGGTGATGACGAGTATAAATGATAGAGCTACCGTGTCGAGGTAAACCAAACCTGAAAAAGGATCAACTCGAAGCCCTCTTCCTTGATCATTCTACTACGCATCCGGGGCTTAGGTCGGGCGCACGAAATGTCGGCAGGGGCTGAATCTATGCTCTGTAAACAGCGTTTGGTGCATGGGCCTATTGCACCTGGTTCCTCCGTAATGTGAATGGCCTATACAGTAAGATCTCCCCCAAAACTTTCCCCGTCGAGTTCATCATTGCCCAGAGTCAGTCCTCCGCTTTGACGCTGTCCACAGCCTTCAAAGCGACTCGACCCAAGCTTAGGGCATGGAGCATTGTGTAGATTGTCTGATGACCTTTATGTTTTTAAGTTTAGTGTCAAGTGCTTGGAATTTCGGACACGGCGCTCTAAGATCGGGGCTAGTCCAGGGCTTCGGGTTTAGAGCCTACAGGGACTGATGGCCCTTAATGCCTGAAAGAGGATCCTACACGATGAAACCGCAGTCTTGAAGTACAGGCGACTGTACTTGCGCGAGATGTAGATAAAGCTTCCGCAATTCAGCTGAAGCTTACGAGTTTAGATTGTTCAACCCTGAACACTTAATCCCAAACCACAAACCCAACCAAACCCCAAACCCGCATCCACTATCCACTTCTCCCAAGCAACAGCCAAACCGTAATGCGAAACCCCCAAATCCCAAAGCCTAAAGTCCCACAACATGTGAAGATCAAGGCGACACTGGCATGCCTCCAAAACCACCTGAAACTTGGACTGGTGTAGGATTTGAGGGCTCCAGGTTTCAATTTGTTTACAGGTGTTGGATCTCAAGGGCTTTAGGAGCCCTTGCAATATCTTTATTGTTTCAGGCGTTGGGGTTTAGGGCGTGGGCAAAGGATTCAGGGTTCAGGGCTTGGACGCTCGGCGAGTGATGAGCATGAACGTTCTGACTTTCAGAAGCTGCAGGTAGTCTCTCGAACTCAAGAGACCTGCTCTCGCAAGGCCAGGTGTCGGGACATGCAATGTTGCTCGGAAGCCTCAGGCGTCGCTGAATGATGTCAGCGCATTGTGGCGTCACATGGTCATACGCTTTGGAGTAGACAACGGACACAAGAGATCCGCCTCAATCTGCAGGCGGGGTCGGGGGGCCCAGTGTGTAGAATGCATCACGGATTTCCTGCCATTGGGCTTTCCTGCCATAGGGCATCCTTAGATGCGACGTGTCGAGCCCCAAAGCCGGGAGGGCCGCATCAACATCACGGGCCCCATCCGAGGCTCGAAAAACTGTTCCTGCCTTATGCAGCTGGTTCTGAGGCGCTGGCTGCCCCTGAGACAGACTCGAGGCAGGTGCATCGCAAGTCCGGCAACTGTCAATGGCATCTGCATAAAATGTGACCGCACGGCAGAACCAGTCCAGCCAGCGGGGCCTGTTGCTGGGCCAGTGAACCGAGACCCAACACCCCCACATGTTCAAATTGAGATTCCTGTAGCAAAAGCCCCTGAAGTACAGAATGCAGACAGCAGGGCCCTCCCGTGCAAGGGAATCCAGGCAGTCCCGAAAGCCTTATTAACCAACCAGACCCCAACCCCCAAGACCCCTCTTCCGAGAAGACAGATAAAGACCCAAAGTACTGTAGTAACTGTAGTCTGATCCGTGGTCATACAAGGACCCTCAAGAAAACGACGGCGAATGATAAAACGCCAAGCCTCCATGAATGCCGCTGGCCCCTCCACCGGATGGGAGGGCACCCTGAGAGGCAAGTAGCTTTAGTGTCTCGGGGCTTATAGCTTAAAGGCTCAGGGAGTTGGGATTTGGGGATACGGGGGTGGAGAACTTGTGTAGTGCTGCATTTGGAGTTGTGCCACGAAGGGCTTGGGCTTCAGGGAAGGAAGGCTTTGGGGTTGGGGCTTCCTCTTAGAGGCTGAGTGTTCAGAGCTTCTCGATGCTTGAGTCTGTGAGGTGAGAAGGTCGCCTTGGGACTTGCAGCCTTAAACCCAGAGGCCCTGAATTCCTAAAGCTGCGAAACTGTAAGGTATTGGGAGATTCGGACTTAGATCCCAAACCCAAGCCCGAGTGTTACTGGGATGAAATTGGGATTGTCCAAGGTCCCAACAGGTCCAGGGATGCTGCGATCAACATGTGCTCCAGAGATTGGGGCTTGAACATGTGGGACTCTGGGCTGTTAGGATGTTACGCACTTCCTTTGTGAGCTCTCCACACAACAGATATGATGATTTTCAACCAAAAGGAACGTCCGGTTGTTTTCGTGCTATTCACGGTCGCGAGTTAGCGTTTCAATGGGAGTGAAGTTTGGTTATGTCTTCGGCCTTCTGGTTTCTGCGCCATGACTAAGCATAGGCGCCATTCGGCTGAAACTAGTGACTACTTAGTCATGATATCACTGATATTGATGAGTTCGGCATTGCCAAGGAGAGCATTTGCACAGGGGTACTTCTGCTACTGCAAACATCACCAGTGGCTTGATTTGGTTCACCCAAGGCAACCACGAAACCGGATCCAACAACACCGACCTTTGAACCCCTAAAACCTCAACCACAGGTGAGCCTTGGAGCTATTCGCAAAGTTTGCCGACATGACAACAAAAGGTCCAAACTCTCCGAATGTCTGGGATTCAAGGGCTGCGCCCTGGGCCCAATGCCTTCCCAAAGTCAAGACAAAACCTACGGCCTCCATCTAAACACTGTAAGATCTCAGATCCTGACATACCGTGGCCCAGATTGCAGATGTATTTGCTGACGCCTTAAGTTTATCCTCTACGGGTTGAGGTTAAGGGCTCAAGATTCAGGTCGGCGTTGGTGTTGGGCGGAATTTATGGGAATCCTTCTTTCTTGGGCCTAAACTAAGCCGGTGCCATTGGACGCGGCTGACGGGATGACATGGAGGTGCACTTAAGAGTACAGGGGAGCCTGTTTGGGGATGCAGCAGCTGCGCAGCCCTAAATTCCAGACAACCCGAGACCGACAAGCCACACGCACCAAAAAACAACGGGGACTAGTCACAAGGGACCAACATTGACTCTTAGATCCTCAAATCCGGTGGCACGCGATCCGAGGTCAACGCGTACGGATACCGGAAACAAGCTGGCGCTTTAAGCGGGCCGAGATGTTGGTTAATTACGCGAATCGCAATCCGAAGCTCTGTGGAAGACCTCGGGAGGGGGGAAACCCTGGGACCCGAGAAAACCCTGGGCTGAGAGTTGCTGTCAGCTTGATGTTAAGCTGCTTCAGGATCCGCGGTTTAGGGTTTGCGGTTTCAGCGTAGGGCTAAGGGGTTTGGGCATAAGAACTATAGGGTATAAGATTCGCAGTTTCAGTACAGGGTTAAATGGCCTGGGCTTGAGAACTTCAATTATAGGGTTTCGAGTTTGCGGTCTCGGCTTAGGGTCAAGGGGTCTGGGCTTAAGAATTCAGGGTCTAGATTTGTAGTTTCAGAATAGGGTCAAGGTGTTTGGGCCTTCGAATTCAGGGTCTAGGTTCTGTGGTTTCAGCGTAGGGTTAAGCAATTTTGGCTTCAGGATTCCGGGTTTCTGGTTTGCGGTTTCGGCTTAGTGTCGAGGTGTTTGCGCTTAAGGGTTTCGGGTCTACGGCCCTGCGGTCTCAGCTTATTCGGGTCAAGGGTCTTTCTTGGCTTCTGGGGTTAGGGTTTAGGTTTGAGGTTTTAGGATCGGGTTTAGGGGCTCGGGCATCAGGATTAGGGTTGAAGCTTGTCGGCTTCAGCTTATGGTTTAAGGATTTAGGGCCTATAGGGTTTGCAGTTTGGAGTTTTTGGGCTTACGGATTTATGGTCCGCAGTTTCCGCTTAGGGTTTTGGGGCTTGGGTTCAAAAGTTGGTTGAGCGACTCAGGGTTGAGGGCTGGGCTGGGTTCGGGGTTTAAGGATTTGAGGTTCAGGGGTTTCTGTTTCCGTTTAAGGCATGTAGGGGTTCGGGGTTAAGCTGCAGGTGTAGACGGTGTAGACTTGGTGTTTGATGGCCCCCAGGCATGGCTCAATAACCAAGACACAGCAGACTGCTCTTCATGTTCGATTCAGCCCTTGTTGCATAACAAGTGTGTAGCAACTGCTACAGGTACCAGCCGGCATCTCCTTGTCATGAGTCGTTGAGAGTTGTCCGGCGCCATGGCTGAGCAAGAATCGATGCTGCAACTTTCTGGGGTTCACGATAACATTAGTTTACCGTCCCGAGAGATTCAATCTCTGCTCTGCAGGATATGTGGCGGCATCTGCTTGTTGTTCAGTGCCAGTGCCAGTCGCACAAGTTCCGGCGACTGCATGGTTGCGACGACGGCCAACTTGTCAAAAGTTGCCAAGCTATATGATCCGCGGAAGACGCGAAGTACCAGTCAAAGGGGTACTGTACTTGAACAGAAAACTACGTGGGCTAAGCCTTACACAGCCCGGAAGCCGGAACCTTGTGCCCCACACCAGGTACCAAGAAGGCGAGGACCCTAACCCTGAACCTGCCATTCAAACGGTCAATCTGCAGAAGTGCTTCGGACATGACAGAGAATTCCAAAGTAGATTCTCTCGGTGAACGGAACACATCCGGTCTCTGTCTGTCCATGCACATCTGTATACTGACATTCAAACGATGTACATCCGTGCTGAGGAGTAGTGATGATCTGTTACAAGGAACACCACCTGGAACCCCACCCGTGGCAGAAGTACTTCCTCGTGGCCGTATGCTCCTGACACATAGGCCTTCAGGGGTTAGGGTTTAGGGTTCAGGGCATGGGGTCCAGGCAAAGCTCTTAATTGCAGAACAAGGGGATAATCCTGGGATTCTGAAGGTATAACAGCCACACCACACTTTCAGGCTCCTGAGCCAGCATCCAACACCGAAACGCAAGCCAAAGACGTAAATCTTCTGCCCCTACCCTACAGCCTGGAAGCCTAACGTCTTTCTAGTCAAGGACCCGGCCGAACTCCTTCACCATCTTCACCGTCCGCTCCCGGATTTGCTCCGGATCCGCATAAAGCCTTGTGAAGTATGGTGCGAGGGCTTCGAGGTTTCAAGTTCCGGATGGAAGGTTCAGGGTGCCAGTAGCTGCGAGATTTAGGATCTGATTCGAGTTAGGGCAACGAGGGCCCTCGCCTGACTACGTTGCAACTCCGGTACCATCCACACAAGTATGCACATACATACACCAAAATAATATACATATAGAAATATATGTATATATATATATATATGTATATATGTATACATATATACATACATATGTATGTGTGTGTGTGTGTGTGTATATATATATAAGCCTAACAGGGTCACACTGACAGCACTAGCACCACAACGCTTGTGGAAGTAGCAGAAATTTACACATGTATGTCAGTATATGTTCTCAAGATGAACTACCCTGGGACCCCATTCGAATTCGAATTGTGAAGGCCACGATACTTGGGATCCAGAACCTGTCCTGAGTGGTCTCCACATTGCCCTGAAATCGCGGAACTTTGGGCCAACAGTCTCGGCCGTAGCACGAGACACCTAAAGTGTTGATTTCCCTTTAACAGACGGGCGGTCAATGGGTTCAGGGTTTCGGAGGTTCAAGGTTTGGGTTTAAGCAGAGCTGTCTGAGAAACATCGTGTATGTGCTTCCTTTGCTCTTCGCGCTCTATTGGCAGCATCAGAAGCTCGATAATACCCCGTGACTTCTGAAATCACAATCTAAGCTCTAAACCTCCTGAGGGTCCAGGACGGCAACTAGGGTCTGAGGCTTTCGAATTTTTTGGGGTTTTGGGCTCGTGCGGACTGGATGCACAGCCCACGCCTGGAGGGTCGAGTGTTACCCAAATTGTAACTCCGACAACTTTAAACCCTCACGACCCGTAAACTACTCGTCATGATCGTCCGCCTGTTCCAGGAAAGTTTAGAACGTTTGGTAGAATTCGGGGTATACAGCTGACCCGACCACTACCACTTGGCGCCGGGTTTGGTTGAAGAAGTTTCACCGAAACAACGCAACATGGAATTCCCACCCTGGCCACTGAGCACAGCCATACCAAGACTGCCTCCTGGGAAGAGGTAGATGCCCCACAGTATGTACCTCCCCTTGCCGCTAAACGCTATACTCCGAAACCCTCAGCCCTAAGCCCAGATGACTTGGCCCCTAAGGCCCCCGCAGATGAGGATCCAGATTTCCCTGCAGCGTCCTGGCGACTCGGAAACTCCTGAATTTCTTACTACGCTGTAGGAAGCGGGTTTCGAAATCCCTGGTGCTGACATATTACAGGGCCAGGGGTACAGAGCCAAGAGGCTCCGAATCAGGCTCCTGGGTTTTGGGGCTTAGCTTTTCAATGGTCAGCTCTGTCTTTGGTGTGCAAAACACCTTCATGTTTTTGAGGGCCACCCGGTTCTGCAATTTCGTTTTTGGGTTCGACTTGTTCTGCTTCTTGAGCAGTGGACGCAGTGACAAGTGCAGTGTTGGACTACTTGCGACAATGTCGGCAGCGTTTTCGAATGTTGGAGCATCACAGCGAGGACATGTGAGGACTGCACGATGTGTTGGCAACAGCTCTGCACATTTTGCGGCAAGGGCTGCAAACTCTGCCCAAGTTAAATTTGAGCAATCGTTGGGGAAAGTTCGTCTACTGATGACCAGCAGGTGGGCAGCTGGCTATGGTGGGGATGGCATTGGACCTCTCAACGGTGCTGTGCTTTGTGCTAGGACCTCGCGAACATCGAAGAGGTTTTCTACAAGTCTCACTCAAACTCGGGGTTTCGGACTTAAGGTCTAGGATTTTAAAGTTCGGATTTAGGTGACAGCAACTTTGCATGACACTGCATGGCAAACTGAAGACGCAAGCTCGTTTGCAAAGCGCACATGGCAATATGGGCATGTCTCCACGCAGGAGGAAGCTCAGTTCTGGCTTTCGAGTGTCCTATATTGTGACTCTGCGGATGCTTAGCGAGCCCCGTTATAAGCCTCAAATCGAGCACACAGCACAACTCTACTTTCTAAATCCGAAGAGTTCCAGGTTGGCTTTCAGGTTCGGGCTGAATGCCTGCAGGCCCCTAAATCCCAAATCGAAAGCCACTTCCGAAAGACCAGCAACGACGGCAAACTCGCCGAGCGTGCTTGCTTGGACAGCTACGCCTCGCCTGCGCGACGGGAAGCATTTGCGAGATGGGCCGGAGGCTTTATTCTTTTATTGATCAGGAGCTTAAAGCTGTGTGGGGCTTGAATCGCTTGTGGTCAGTAGCTTTTTAAGTTGCCTGGGGCTTTAATGGTGTAAGGGTCAAGAGTCTTAGAGTTGGGCTACCGGTTTCACAGAGCTGTTGGGTTGAGATCCCGAAGCGATCATACATGAGAAGTCGGAAGAAGGAGAAATGTTAACTCTATGAGTTCCCCAGTACTGTTATGTTATTATGTTATGACATATACAGCCCCCGAAATCCTACCAGACATATTAAGGCCGCCGCAACATGTTGAGGGGCTTTTGTGTTCATAACATTGCTGAAGATTTAAAGCTTCAAAAGTCTGGTTCAGGGATCCTGGGGATGTGTTACATAATTAGAACAGGGTTCTATAGGGTGTGCAGGGTGGGTTTTGGGGCTCACGGACATGATCAACTCGACGCAGGATTTGTAGGTTATTGCAAGGTCGTATAAGGCGTCCATAATTAGAACAGGGTGTTGGGGTATAGTGGAGTATACTATATGGGGAAGCTAGTGACTAGGCTTGGGGGCTGACGGCTCGGGATCATGGTTTAGGGTTTTACGGGTTAAGGTGCCGCAATCCTGAAGTCCTGATTCCTTCAATCCTTCAAATTCAAGCCTTGAAGCCCTGTGTATGGCTCGAACCAAGAAACAGCAATGGCTAATGTAGTGACCTTCATCAAGTTTATGTATATATATATATACCGATACCCAATAGCCAAACTACATGCTGACTGTCAGGTCATGTTGTTGCTACAGCTCTAGAGTCTTGGGCTGGCTGAACGCCATCGGTTGACTGTTTTACACCTCAGAATCTGCCCTGAACCACCCAAACCTAAAGCTCTGAGCGCCATTCTTGTGGACTTACCGCATTGCCTCCGCAGGGGATGTAGTCCAGCTAACCTCGGAATGCTTCACAACCCATTCGTATCCTTCGCAATCCCCATCGTCATACACTACTCTTTTTGCCCCCGGTGGCATCAATAAAGGATGTATACATTGCTGTTTCTGGGTGTCTTTTGCTTTCTCGATGGCTTGTTCGTTTGTTTGTTTGCCTGCTTGATTGCGTGTTTGTTGGGTTTTAACGGAGGAAACGTATACTGAGGCCACTGAAACCCTACAGTACCTAAGGGCTAGAAAGAAAAAGCAAAAATCCAAAACCTAACCCCAGCAAAATAAATAGTGTACTGTTTCAATCGCAACATTTCATTTATCTTAATGTCAAGGTTTAGATCATCGAACTCCCTGGGAAACTCCTCGACCCACGCCGACCGCACAACGTCACGGCCGAGGGACGCCCACGACATCGAAGTCGCTGTCTTCGAAGGCGCCAATCCTGGGCCGAAAGTTTAGGGGTTTACCTCTGTTAAACCTTCGGACCTTAGGGACGGTATTGTACACTGTCCCAAATTGCCACCTAAAGCCTCCTCGAAGTGAGAAAGGAGTGGTTCTTGAACTAAGGCTGCTTTTCAAGCAGTTCGTATTCCTTCCGTGTTGGTATCTGAAAGCAGGGGCCCGTCCCAAACCGAAGAAGTAACAGACTTGGACCCACAGGGAGACCCTGGAGCCCCCCCCTTCAGCTGAGTAAGGCCCTAGTACTAAAGTACTTTAAAAACAGTAGGGTCCATTCCATGAACGCTTCTGAAGGTACGACTTCACCCACCCTAAACCCCTGAACCCCTAAACCCCTAAGCGCTATACCCCTAAACCCTAAACTCCAAAACCCTAAACTCCGAACTCAGCTCGAAAACTGGGAGCCCGGGCTCTCCATCCTTGGGGAAAACGGAGATCAAAGCACCCGGCCGCCTCTTCTTGACCTGGCTTTCGGGAGTTTAAGCCAAAGGCTCTCTTAGGGCTTCCTGTAGTAAAGGATTCTGATTCCGTTCCTCCAGCATTGGCATTTAGGGTTTGCATCGGGTCTTCAGGGTATTAGGTTCGGGAGGTGTCAATGCGGGCACGGTCATGGTGAACCTAAACCTTTCGAGTGGAATCTACCGACTGGTAGATTAAAGTCAGGCAAGTCCCTGGTTCTCGACTGGTAGCATCTGTCGGGTTTCTGGCTCGTGAACTCAGGATTTCGCACTTGGCCGTAACTACTAAGGGTTGAGCTACCGAACCCAAATGCCTAAACTCCAACCCGGCTAAACCCAAAGTATTGAACCATATTGAACCCCAGCTGAAGAATCCATTCTGGAGATTTAGGCAGTTTGGGTTTATGTTTTCTTCCGGAGAAGTTCAGTTTTAGGGTTTCAGGCCTCGGCCTTCTGCTGAGGGTTTGGAGATAGGCACGCAGTAATTGTTTCTCAACTTAGAAGCAATTCTTTAGAACAAACCGTCGGCCTCAGTAGCAATGTACTTGAGGTCGGGCACACAGAACTCCTCGTAGATCCTGGACGCACCGAGAGTTGGACCCTAATCCGACACTAATAAAACACGCACCAGGTCCTAGACTCCGAACTTCGGGCGATTCTGGGCTTCTGCGTCAAGATCCAATATTGATTTTTTGTTTGTCTTTGTCGCTGATGGGATGACTTTCGTATAATGCTTCGAAGTTGGATCTGGAGATCGATTATATAGGTGTAGGGTTTGGTGGACTTCAGGGTGCAGATGGAAGAGCCCACCAAGTAGCAGCGGTGGCGCTGTTAGTTTACAGGCTGCAGTCAGAAGTTCAATGCAGACACAAGGCCAGTCTCTAATCAGAATCGGGCCACTAGTATCTCATCATCTAATCGTAATGACCAAGCGTTCAGGAATTGCTGCCGGATGTCATCTTCCAGAAAGGTGCTCACACAAAACAACTGTGCGAAGTAGCAGGCACCAGACGCAATGCGACAGCACGCGCATCTTTCCATATCCGCCATGTTCCAAGCCCCGTGCTCGAGACTCCGCTGTCGGGTCCGGAGGTGGATGCACTTTCGTAAGCAGCACGGTCCGCCACTGGTATAGACGGGAGAGTTCACCACCCAAGAGCATCAGCCAAATTCAGCAAATACTCTGGGGCTCCTCGCAGCTCACGCTCCAAAGCTGCATTTGAGAGACATCCAAGCGATGGCACGGACTTCGATGCATCTCGTCGGCACCGCGTGCGGCCATGCCATTCAGGACACATGCAGCTTCAAACAAACACTCATCACACAAGCTGCAAATCATAGCTCGCCGCGTATTGACTCCATCTGGTGGAGGCTTGGGGTTTTTCATAGGGGCTTTCATGGCCAGGGTTTGGGTGATAGTACAGGTAAATTGCAGGGGGACTGTACAGGGAAATTGTTACGCTTCATACGGAAGGCTTCGCGTGTCGGGTTTAGCTTGGAAGGTTGATGCGATGCCAGGGTTTAGGGACTTGGCTTCGTGCTTTACAGGTGCCGGATTCAGGTAGGGCTTCAGGCCTGGGCCTTAATTAGGGAGGCTCGGTTGACATGCAAGACTCGAAACTAGCCTGAAACAACCAAAACTAAACCCTAAACCTTCAAGCCACTCAAGTCTAGCGATTCAGCAATCCTTGCAGGCGCCTTTGCCACTGCGCGTTCAAATCTCAACTCTCAACTTCTTCGAAGCTTACAGCACTGCCAAAACCTCAAAACCCTACGTAGCCCCTATGTCCACCCATTCTAAACCCTCTGATCAAGCACCAAAAATGCCGAACTAAACACAGATTCCACGCCAATTCGGGGCCGGTCCTGGGTGGGACCTCCCCACAGTTGGTGTCGAAAACCTTCCAGATTTGATGCTTCGTAACGTTTGTCACTGCTCGGAAGGCTTTTATGGCATTGTGGGGATTGATGGGGCCATCATGACAGTAAGCCGTAAGCCTCTACTCACTCACAGAGGTGCCTTGACTGCGCCCTACGCCCTAAACAACCCTAAAGGCCCTAAACACACTGTAAACCCTAAACCCCTAAGCGCCATGGAAGCCTACACCCTCGTTAGAGCCTCGAGGCGTAGCGAAGTCGGACCAGGCAACGATCCAACACCCCCGAAACCCCTGCTTCTGAGTCAAACCTGAAACACTAAACAGGTCTTTGTGGCGGTTCGAGAGGCTATTTTTGAGAAAAAGGCAGTAGACCCTACTAAGCAGCAACTTGTCGTACTTGGATTGAGCATGGGATCCTGCTGCAAGCCGGCCTTTGGATAAAGAGCTGCACGGTTTAAGCCTTTTAGAGTTTCGGATTTGGGGGGTTTGCTGTTTTCGGTGCATAATCTCATCCCTTTATACTGGTTTAAAATCATGATTCCGAGCTAGAGGAGATCATCCCACATCCCTACACGTTGCAGCTGCAGCTCTGAACCCATAAATCCCAAACTGCAGCCTTCAGCCCAGAACCCTCATGCCATGGGTACGAGGTTTGACCGGACAGGACCAAGCTGCCCTAGCTTCGGCATGAAGCAACTCGCTAGCTGAGACCTCCAAAGACCTGCCGACTTGGATGTACTCCACGGGGAGCTCAGGATGTCTAGAGGTCCAGAGGTGCCGCTTCGAGGCGCCCATTGTCTTCTCCGGAGCAAATGCTTGAGTCCCAAGGCTCAGCCATGAGGACCCGTGCCAGCAGCATTCTTGGCAGAACATCCGGAGCCTCGAAACCCTGCTGCTTCCTTGTGGGCCGATGCCTCTTCATCGACTCGCGACCTTGAAGCAAAGCCTGAATCGCCCCACTGTTGTGGGCAGAAAGTGCCTCTGGTCTGGCCCGACCCTGCACCAGACTCCTTTTGTCCACCTTGGTGTCAAAAATCCTTAATCGTTTCCCCCTAATATTAAAGGGCCCCTCCCCCCCCTCCCTAATATAAAAACTGGATTTCGGAGGTTTAGTTTTAATATTAGGGGGGTTTCGGTGCATCCACGTACCCGGACTCCCAGCTGCTAGCTATCCTAAGCCTGGAGCCCTGAGGCCCTACTAAAGCCCTAAGCCTTAAACCTCGAGCCCCAAACCCTAAAGCCCTGAGCCCTAAACTTTAAGCCCCAAATCCCCAAGCCCTAAAGCTTTAGCCCTGAGCCCTAGACCCTTAAACCCTAAAGATCTGCTGTCTTTAGTACTGCAGTAATCTTCGGCTCTATAAAGCCCTGAGCCCTAAACTTTAAGCCCTAAAGCCCCAAGCCCTATAGCTTTAGCCCTGAGCCCTAGACCCTTAAACCTGCTGTCTTTAGTACTGCGGTAATCTTCGGCTCTATAAAGCCCTGAGCCCTAAACTTTAAGCCCTAAAGCCCCAAGCCCTAAAGGTCCTTCTGGTGTGGTACTACTGTAATCTTCGTTCAATTAAAACACATACAGATCTAGGCCCCCCCTAATGTTTTCCCTTTTAAATTGAATGTGGGGCCCGAAACAGCGAAATTCCGCGGGCCGGGAGTTTTTATATTGCGGGGGTTGAATGTTAGGGGGAAGTGATTACAGCCCTGAATCTTAGCACCTCAACCCTGAACCCTAATCCTGAACCCCCCAATGGCACCCTGCATAAAGAAAGGAAGCATATTCTTCTCGGTTCATAAACTTTTCAGAGGTGCGACTACAGACGACCAACGACGTCGCTAATCCTGAGTGTGCTGAACTTGAAACTACGTATGCTACCTCGGAACCTTATGCCGGTCAGGCCGCAAGAGTTGGATTTCAGATTGCGGGGTTGTGGTGGTCCAAACAGAGAATTCCGCAAACACTTAAAATCACGCAAACCTAGTTAACCAAAAATCCGAAAGCGGCTGACGAGCCCGACCGTGAGGAGGGGAGCACCAGAGTCGAACTGTCCCACCAAATATTCGACCTTGTAACAGAGCTACGGTCTAAAATTTGAGCGGGCCTAACCTGGTAGTGTCACGAGTCGGGCCTTAGGGTTGAGGATTTAACACAACTGGTGATGTCAACAACTTAAGCCGAGAGAGCTAATACGGCATGGCATGAACGACGAGACCCCAACATGGTGGCAAGGCTAGTAGTGCCACACAGCGGAGTGTGTACTCGTATAATTTCCACGAGTGTCATATGGCTTTGTGCTTCTGTTGATCCGGATCTGTGAGTTGAGGTTCTGGCTTTGCAAACTTGCTGGCGGATATGGCGTTCTGCGAAACAACACACGGTATATCAGCTCCTCTGGGCATGAATGAAACACACCGGTATATATACATGTTGGCTTGCTTAGTTTTCGTTCGCTTGTTTCACGCATATACATGTATATGTTTATTTATTTATTTATTTGCTAAAATATATATATATATATGTATATATATAAATACACATACACTCTCACGCATAGATGCTTGCTGTTGAGAGTTGTCCACATGTTCACACTCTCCAAAGCATATAGAACAAAACCTCTTCGGGAGGGGGCTGCGAGGGTCTTGATAACGGGTGGCTATGCTAGTGTGTGCTATGTCAGCAACTAGAAACGAAGAGTACCTGCTTCAGTGCATCGAAATAATGTGTATGTTGTGTAGGCATGTCTTCACCTTGAAGGTTTCGTTCACACACTTGCGCAAACAAACAAACAAACAAACAAGCAAGCAACCAAGCACACACACAAAACAAAAAAACACAGGGACCCTTGAACTTCAAAATCCAGGGTCATTTCGCCACACATTGCCAATTGCCCAGGCAGATCACACATGAAGCTTGTCTCTTTCAACTTCCTTTGCAAGCCTTTCTCGCGCTGCGGCAGAATGTCAAACCAAAACCGAAAGCCTGAAGAATTGAAGCCGAGAATCTGCTGAGAACCTGTCAGCTGACAAAGCGCCTCATCTACAAAACCCCCGCACCTGTTGAACTCGAGAACCTTTTCGGCACCTTTTAGCCAAATCTCGATTACAAACCATGACCTGAGCTCAGGACTCCCCAGGTTTCATCCCCAACAGGGGACATGACATGCTGAGCAGGTGGCGACGATGTCGCGCAAGGCGGTCAACAATCTCCTCGAAGCCTGACAACTCCCCGTTGCTTGAATAGCCCGTAACCGACCTAAACTCCCTAAACCCTGCAGCCGAAAAACCACGATCCAAGATCCCAGTCTCCCATGTCAAGTTCCACGCCCTTCTCAAGTCACGGAACCCTAACCGACTAACCCTGATCAAACCTCCTAAGGGGTTGGGCTCAGGGGCTTTCGGATTGAATGTTTGCCTTCTTCACCTTGATCGGTGCTGATGGTGCTTCAAGATTTTATCGGGTTTAGAAGGTGTGACTTTGGAGGTGCAAGTTGAATTTCATACGATGGGCTGCTTATGATTCGGTGTAAACTTCAGTCAGTTTAAGCTCTAGTCGAATAGTTAGTATCGACTGGGCCCCGAAATCATCTAGAAGGGAATCCGGATTCAGACGCCCGTCCTCAGTTTGCACAGCATACTTCTCGGAATTACCCTAAGGCGCCGAGCCCCAAAGCCCTGGCCCTACACTCGAAACTGCACATATCGAAGCAGAGGCCTCGGGGTAGAGGTAAAGCCATTTCTTGGCACGGTCGAAGCTGCGCACGGCTCCGCCTGTCAGCGTCCGGCGAGAGGGCATACGGGGTGTAGGGCTTTGTGCACCGTGCTTAGTGTGTGGGGTTTAGGTGACAAGTCGCGTGGTTTGGGGAACGCACGACAAGACTTATTTCGGATGAACTTTCACACCGATGGGCCTATGGTACTCATGCATTCCTGGTACATACTGGGCGCTGGAACTAGTGATGATGCTGGTGATGATGACGACTATGATGATGGTTAGGGTGACAAAGACACCGATGATGACGATGATGATGGTGGTGGTGCCGAGGATGAAGACGATAATGATTATTATGGGGATGGCAACCAGGCTGCTGCTGATGATAATAACGATGATGGTGAGACTGGTGAAGATGAAGAAAACGATGAGGAGGAGGAGGAGGAGGAGGAGGAGGAGGAGGAGGAGGAGGGGGAGGATGAGCATGGAGATGAGGATGAGGATGGTGAGGATGCTCATGATGATGACAGTGATGGTGGTGGTGATGGTACTGATGATGAAGATGACGATGAAGACTCATAACAGCACGATAATGATGATGATGACGATGATGATGGTAATGATGATGATGATGATGATGATGAGGAGCCGGATGTTGCTGACAAGGATGATGTTGATAACCGCGGTGATGATGATGGTGAAAAAGAAGATGATGATTATGATGGCCATGACATGAAAAGCTGGTGGCGATGATGATCATGATGGTGATGGTGATGGTATGGCGATGATAGTGATACTGACAGTGACGAAGGTAATGCCGATGACACTGGTGATGATATCGAGACTGATGCTGGCGAGTATGTTGATGATGATGATGATGATGCCGACGATGATGATGATGAGGAGGAGGATGCGGAGGAGGATGATCGATGATTATGACGGTGATGATGCTGCTGGCGATGAGGATGATTACGAATGAGGTGCTGATCACGATGATGCAAATAGTGATGGCGGAGATACTGTTTGCGGTGCTGCTGTTCCTGCTAATCATTTTCGAGGAAGAACGACGGCCATCACGACGATTCTAGCTATCACTGTGGTTGGACTTCGTTCTGGCACTTTCAGGTAGGTATGCCACCGATCAGTGGTAAATGGGAAAACGATCAGCCGAGCCTGCTTCGGAGTGTTATGCAAAGAAAGGGCTTTGCCTCTTCATGCATACGTGACCTCCGCAACAATCTGAAAAGCCTAGCCTTCGGCCTATGGCTCCCCTCGATCTCATTTCGAACTTTAGGTCTTTATGAACGGACGAATCAGCATACGCATAATTTAGCAAGACTTGAGGTAATTCTTATTCTCAGCCTTCTGCCGTTAGTGCCAATGCAGGGTTTGGATCTTTAGAGGTGTAACATCCAGGATTGCTTGAGGCCTTCGGGGTTTTCCGGTTCTGGAAGCCTTGCAACATTTCACCTGATAGCAAACTAGTACCTATTGCCCCAATATTGGAGCATGTGCCTGTCGGAGATAGGATAGAGCTGGTTGCTGGAGTTCTGGGTATGAGGCCGCCTTCCACCGAGCACCCCCAATTTCGAAATACCCAGCCCTCATGCTTTGTGTAATTACATGATGCCTACTTTGGGCCTGAAGCTGTCCAATATGCATAGGCAGGCATCCCCAAGCCTTAAAAACATCAAAATCTCAATGACCAAGTCCAACCCTAAACCTTAAACCTCAATGACCGCACTGGCAACACGGATGGATATGCACATACAGCATGACAGCAGCTCAAAGCCTCCAAGTGCGACCAAAAACCCAAATCGCAAACCGTAAAGCCCCAAAAAGCCTGATGTGCAACATAGGGTTATAGAAAGACTCCCCTCTACTTGTCGCAAGGCCACCTTCCACCATGTAGCCCATCAAGGTCCACGGCGCGCCCGAGAATCCAATGACGGGGACTTTGTTCTGCACCTCAACGCGGCCCTTGAGAAGGGGTTCAGGCAACGGTGTCATAGGGCTTAAATATCAAGACCTTCATGATTAGCATAGGGCGTTGGAGCAGAGCATCATAGAAGTATATGATGAGGGATGCAACGGGATATCATCCTAATCAGTTAAGACAGGGATAAGGTTTGCCGTTTGTTGGGCAGGGTTTTTGGTAGCATTCGGGCACGCGTTGATGATCTGGGGACATGTCGGCTCATTGTTTGTGGGGCATGTGCTAAGAGGTTGAGGGTTCAGGGTTTGCTGTTTGGGGGGTTTCACGGCAGGCTATAATCATTGGAAATGCTGGGTTGCGGCTGCCTGGGTGCCTATAATCAAAGGGAGCCCAACATCGGACCTACGCCCGAAATCGTCATGTAGTCGCCTGCCATCGCATCATACTTTCTTTGACCAGGAACATGATTTTTCCAAAGGCTGCTTTCAGTTTAGCTTCAGGGAGAAAAATCGACGATCTTCGCTAGTGCGGCGTTGACAGAGCAATACCAGGCCCATCACAATCACAGTATTTAGGGATTTGGTGCGACTATAACCAAGTTTCCATTCCCCATTCAAGGCTTACAGAACCTGTGAAACTTTTTAAACCTCCAGATGCCCCACCCTTTGCAATGACTCTTTGCAGGCTGCAGGCCTCTAGCCGATCCTTGACTGAGGCTCTGAAGCCTATGCCAAGCCCAGTCTACTAACCTGAAACCAGAAGCACGTACCAGTGGGAAGGTCCAATCCCAAAGAGCCTAGGCCCGACACTCAAAACCCTCAAACCCACAACCTGAACAAACATCTCAGCCAAAATACGAAGCAGACAAACCTGGCCTCAGACCGAAAACTGCACTGCGTGCAGTCAATCCTCGTGGGTGTAAGGTCCCTGAAGCTTTGAAGGACTTTGAGCTCCAGGACATTTGCTTGGCAATTAGTCTCGAATTATGAGGTTCGCAAGTAGGTATGTGCAGGCCTGCAAGAGCCTATTCGCAAGGCCTTAAATCAGTTGGGATGAAGCATCCGAACCTGACGCCGCTCTGCATCTGACTTACAATGCTGGACCCTAAACCCTCAAACCCCAAACCACTAATCAACAGACCCTTATGCCAATCCCTATAACGCTAAACACTTAAATCCCTCATCATGCCATAATCCTTTAAACCACAAAAACTACCCTAAACCAGCTATGTAAAGCCCTCCATCCGCCTGGTCGCGCGTCCAGTAAATGGCGTCGAAGACGTAGCTCAGCGACTCCTCTTGAGCTGGTGTCTTATTCGGGTTTTGCAGGACGTGCAAAGAGATTTACAAGATGTGTTGTAGGGCCAACCTATGGATCCAAAACGGAGGGCTAATATCCCTAGCAGTCATTAAGTATTGAAGATAAGGCCATAACCTACTGTATTCAGGTTTTCTTGGATTCTCTTTATTGGGTTTGAGGCTTCGGGTTGAGCCACAGGGCATGTGGAACATGACGAAAAGCCTCAAACTTCGACAATACAAGCCAGGATCTTGTAGGGTGTTGGGTCTACATTTGGGCTTATGCGGGTCCGGGTCAAAGTGACACGAAACGACGCGCGCAGGTGGCTGTATAAGCGAGCCGATTTTCGCTTTCCCCCGCGACCTCCTACAGCAAATCTGCTGACTTCACTTGGGTCATGACTGTGTCAACAATCTTAGCAACGACCCCCGATGCTTCCACACAGCAACCGGCCGTCTCTTTCGACAGACGCTGGTAATGACAACACCGTCTGCAAGCCCACTATGTACTTTGTCACCAAGCACTGAGCGCGCATCATCAGCATCAGCTGGGGCTCTTGTTTCGGTTGAAGTCTCCGAATCGCACCGGCTTCGCAAAGCCTCCCCGAAGCCATGGACCGAGTGATCAAGCGGAGTTGGCAACCCAGAATGGCGAGCATCATCGGCATCAGTGGGGGCTGGCTTCTCATTCTTTCTCCGAATAGCCGCAGGCAAATCTGCTCATTGTGATCGGGGTTTCGTCAGCAACAAGCATTGCAACGAGCATGAGCTGGAATTGCATCTGTCGATTGGCGTCGTGCAAGAACACACGTTTTGCCTCAATCTCCAGCAAGCCTGACACTCTGCTCGACAGCCAGGATGGCGCGCATCATCAGCATCAGCTGGAATTGCTTTTGCGCTTGAAGCCTCCTTCCGGATGAGCCGACCGAGTGAATGGACGGATTTAGCAGCTCAGACTGATGAGCATCATCGGCATCAGCCGGAGCCGGCTTTCATGTGTCCCCCGACCTCCCGCAGCAAATCTGCTGACTGTGTTTGGGTCATGATTGTGTCGACAATCATAGCAACGATCCCCGATGCTTCCACGCTTCCGTCCATTTCATCAGACGCTGGGGATGACAACACGTCTGCTTGGCAGCGAACATCATCATGCAGAATTGAGTCGGATTGGCATTTGGATGGCGCTCACTTGCGAGCCGACTAAAATTTGCATCCGGGCGCTGATGGACAACTTCAACCGGGATGGTGCGCATCATCTCTCCGAATCGCACCGTCTTCACGAAGCCTCCCCGAAGCCGTGGAGCGAGTAACTAAGCGGATTTTGCAGCCGAGGATGGCGAGCATCATCGGCATCAGCCGGGGCTGGCTTCTCTCCGAATCTCTGCGATCGGATCTCGATTCTGTCATTCACCTGGCTCAACACCACTTTGCTCGATAGCGCCAAGAAGGCACGCATCATCGGCATCAGCTGGGATTGCTTTTCCCCTTGTAGCCTTGCTCCCGACAATTCCAAAAATTTTAGTGATGGGAAGGATCTACAGAATGGCAAGCATCATCGTCATCAGCCGGAGCCGGCTTTCGTGTGTCTGGTGACCTCTGGCAGCAAGTCTGCTGACTGTGTTTGGGTCGTGATTGTGTCGACAAACAACCGAAGCAGCCATGGTAAGAATCATCAGCTGTCCCAATTCAATTGCTGGTGGTGATCACACGTTTGCGGGCACAGAGGGTCATCAGAAGTGACTTGTTCGCAAGCCCCCTTGCTTGCCACCCGTGCGATGATTGGACAGATTCGGTCAGGGTGGCGTGCACCCCATCCTCCGCATCAGCTGGAACTGCCTTCTCCCCTTGACGCCCTCGCAAAGTCCCTTTCTCACGAAGCCTCGGGGAAGCAATCGATCGAGTGATTGGACGACTTTGCACGAAGCTAATCTACTGGTGGTCCTCGGAGTTTCACTGCAACCTCTCCCGACAACCTCCCCGACCATGATAGGTTGCGGCGCCAGCAGAGTGAAAGGGTGCTCCACGCATAACAAAAGCAGTGCCGAACCAGTACCACCCTGAACTGTCCGACAGTGTCCGACTTCATTGAACCTCAAGCCCTACACAACTCAAGTTAAGCCCATACTCTTGAAACCAAAAACCCCCATAACCCTTAATGAAATGCCCGAGGCTCGTGCCCTTGGAGCAGCTGAAAAATTGCTTTCAATGGGCCAGTCAAATCAACAAGAATCAGGTTTGAGAGTATATAAGTTGAGGGTTTACGGTTTCGGATGCATTCCTTCCCTTGCGCCCGAATCACAAATGCCTCTCAGCCGTGAAAGAGTCCCACAACAAGTTCGCGCCTCCACATTGGGACTGAGGTTCAGCTTGTCCAGGTCCTTTTTCGGTGGCTGTTTCTGGATTCCAAGTGTGCACAGAGTTACTGATACTGGACTTCGAAAAAGCCTTTACTGTAACCCTGTTTGCGTCCCATAGCGTCTATGCTGTTAGGGCTCCTTGTTATGATTCTTTGTGTATGTCCTTAAACAGGTAAAGCACTTGAGCAAACGAGATCTATTTGTGGCTCCACAATGGAGCACCCAAACTCGTTCAACGCGAGCCTTTTGAGGGTTTTAAGTCCAGCTTCAGATTACAAGGGTTAAGGGTTCAATTAAAAAACGGGTTGGCAGGCTGTGAGATTTCGAATACTGAGCTCTTTATCACCAAAGGGCCCGGGTCCAAAGTCCCAGAAAATTGAGAGCTTGTTCTGAATCCTGCTCTCTTAAACCGAGCAGTTCAAGATCAAATCTAGAGCAGGCAAGGATGAAGCATAAACTCGGCCCAGTCAAGGTGGTTACACGTCGAGCCCTGGGCGGCCTGTAGGCTTCATTGAAAAAACATTCACAACTGCGATTCATGTCCGATACAATCCTGAAAGAAGCAGATGAAGCAATGATACCTGGACCCCTCCATCGTATCTTCGATGGTATCGCGTAGTGCGGATCGTATATTGGTGGTTCGCGGATGCTTGGGATGCAATTCCGGTTTTGTGCCAAGTCAGTAACGACATGCTTTCCGAAGGCGAACCCAGACCCCTGATTCGTAAAACCCACTGTATTTGCAAGTGCTTGTCCCCTTTGTATCCTTGTGAGGGATGTGGGAATCAGATTGTCCGTCAGGGTCTACATTAGATTGAGATTTCAAGCGCGCACAATGCTCATGCGACTCCCCAAATTGAGAACTGTGCCGAACACGGATGCTTCAGAGCTTTGCAGACTTTCCGAATTCTAAGGATTGAAGGCTTCAGGCTGTGACGCTTCCGGTTTGGAGCTTTATATTCTGGTTTGGTTTGGAATTGGGAGCTTGGGCTTTGGGAACCTACAAGAATCCAAAAACTCTCAGGATAAGCCTGACCGCCCATAAACCTGCAAACGCCAACCACACTCAGCCGCCGAAGAGAATACTGTAACCCTCCAATGCGCGCACCAATCAAAGCAGCATGCAACTTGGCAAAGAACCCAAGCATCCAAAGCATTTCACTCCAACCATGGACAAGATGAAGAACCCCGGCAGCGAAACTCCAAACAAACAGGCTCCAAAACAAAGCTGCTAACGAGCGCATCAACATGCCAAGCGCCAAACCCAAACCCTGAACCACCCAGCTGAACCCTAAACCCTATAAAGCCTTACCCCCTAAACCCAACCCCCCCTAACTAAACCCTAAACCCTTAATCCCTAAACTCAACCCCGCTTAACCCTAAACCCTTAACATGTAAACCTTTAACCCCTGAACCTCACTTCCCCTAAACCCTTAACCCCTAAACCCGACCCCTGTACTAAACCTCTAAACCCTGAACCTCTAAACCTTAAACCACCAAACCCTAAACCACCAAACCCTAAACCTCTAAACCTTAAACCACCAAACCCTAAACCACCAAACCCTAAACCTCCAAACCCTAAACCTCCAAACCCTAAACCTCTAAACCCTAAACCTCTAAACCCTAAACCTCTAAACCCTAAACCTCTAAACCCTAAACCTCTAAACCCTAAACCTCTAAACCCTAAACCCTAAACCTCTAAACCCTAAACCTCTAAACCCTGAACCTCTAATCCCTAAACCTCTAAACCCTGAACCTCTAAACCCTAAACCTCTAAACCCTAAACCTCCAAACCCTAAACCTCTAAACCCTAAACCTCCAAACCCTAAACCTCTAAACCCTAAACCTCTAAACCCTAACCGCTAAACCCTAAACCTCTAAACCCTAAACCTCTAAACCCTAAACCTCTAAACCCTAAACCTCCAAACCCTCAACCTCTAAACCCTAAACCTCTAAACCCTAAACCTCCAAACCCTAAACCCTAAACCTCCACACCCTGAACCTCTCAACCCTAAACCTCCAAACCCTAAACCTCTGAACCCTAAACCTCTAAACCCTAAACCTCTAAACCCTAAACCTCTAAACCCTAAACCTCTAAACCCTGAACCTCTAAACCCTAAACCTCTAAACCCTAAACCTCTAAACCCTAAACCTCTGAACCCTAAACCTCTAAACCCTAAACCTCTAAACCCTGAACCTCTAAATCCTAAACCTCTAAACCCTAAACCTCTTTTGTTTTAAGGTGCAGCGACCCTAAACCTCTAAACCCTAAACTTCTAAACCCTGAACCTCTAAACCCTAAACCTCAAACTCTGAACCTCTAAACCCTAAACCTCTAAACTCTAAACCTCCAAACCCTAAACTTCTAAATCCTAAACCTCTAAACCTCTTTATCATATGAATATTTAAACTTTAATCCCCTTGGTTGCCTAAGGCAATTTTCAAAGCAATTTTCGGGGTTTAGCTGGCCAGATTTCGCGCCCGCGCGGGGGGGCCCCCACACCGATTCCTAAGGCAATTTTCAAGGCAATTTTCGGGGTTTCCCCTTCGTTGCCTAAGGCAATTTTCAAGGCAATTTTCGGGGTTTAGCTGGCTGGATTTCGTGCCCGCGCGGGGGGGGGCGGCGCCGGCGCCGGACGCTGTCCAGACCGTGTCCGGCGCCACCTTTGGAGTGCGTCCGGCGCCGACGCCGGACAAAGTATGCTCCCCCCAGGACCGTGTCCGGCGCCACTTTTTGGACCGTGTCCGGCGCCACTTTTGGGAGGCTTTTATAAGCCCCACGCAAAAGGCCGGGACCGTGTCCGGCGCCACTTTTTGGCCGTGTCCGGCGCCACTTTTTGAAGGCTTTTATAAGCCCCACACAAAAGGCCGGGACCGTGTCCGAGGGTGTCCTGCGTTCTTGTCCGGGAACACTTTTTGGCCGGGGGTGCAGGCCTCCAGACAAGGCCGGGCATTTCGCTTGTGCGATGCGATTACGTCGTAAGGGTCATCAAATGGTGCTGAGTTCTTGAACTTCGTGCAGGAAGCTCATAGCTGATGGCTGTCGTTGCTTTCTCAGATCAAAGGACGACAGTGACAGGAAACACTGAAGGGTGAGCTTTTGGCGGTACTTTCTCTGTTGTCGATCGAGAGTTGAGGAGATGCAAGTCATGACATTTGACAGCAGTGGTTGCTATCGTAAAGCGATGGCATGACCGCAGCCTCAGCTGTTACAGGCAGTGCTTTCTTTCTTTCAATTATCTCTTGAGAGATCCATGGGCAAGAAGAACACAACGTTTTTAAGGTTTAACGACTATAGAGAACAGCAATGT